CCGCCCCCGGCCCGCGGCCCGGCCACGCGCCCCGCCCGCTGGCCCGCGGGCCGCGCGCTGGTCCCGCCGTCTGTCAGGTGCGAGGGGACCGGGGAGGAGGTGTCTGGTAAGTGACTCCGCGGCGGCGCGGGGGCGGGGGGGGACTCGGTTGGGGGAGAAGGACGTGGGGCTCCCGGACCCTCTGAGGCTCCCCGAAGGCGGGTCCCACTGGGACGGGGCCCCAGGCTCCTTTGGGGACGAGCGCGGTGCTGGGGGCTGCACAGAGCCCGGGGGTGAGGGGCCCCGCTGGAAGAAAGACCCGGAGTCTCGGAAGCTTCTCCAGGTGCGCCTCTGGGAAGGAATGGACATTCAGGAGGTCGGGGGAGGGGTGCCCGCCCACAGCCCTCAGGGCGCCAGGGGCAGCCGTCGGGGGCGGGACCCCGCACTCCAGCCCTCCCACCTGCAGCTCTGGAGGGCACCAGGCTCTGGAGCCCTAAGGAGCCTTTTTCCCGCCCGTCTCCCCGCCCCCCACCCCCGGCGCTGCCAGCCCATTCCGATCCATGAAGTCCTCTATCCGCGACCTTGAACCCCGACGGAAATACCCCTACCCGCTCCTGGCGCCCTTCCCCCACTCCAGGACTACCCCCTGCTGTTGCCCAGGCCCGGAGCCCGAGAGAGCCGGAGCCAAGCCCTGGGCCCAGTGGCGGTAGTGTCAGGCGCAATGCCTTTGCCAAATCTCCTGAGCCCATTCTACCTCCTGTGAACTCTTTGAGACTCTTCTCCCGCCCCAGGGACGGATCCAGGGGCCACAGCCTTCCCGGAGCCCTAGAGTGAATGCCTAAGAACCAAGGACCCACACCCCAACCCCCTCCCCACGGCGTCCAGAACACGCGCTCCCTTCTCATCCGGAAAAGGGGGGGGGGGCTCCAGAACCCGGGAAAGCACGGTGCCCACGCCCAGAGGCTGCAGGAACTGCGTGCTAGGGGGTTGGGGGGAGGGCGGGGCACCGGAGAGCCAGGGCCCCATCGACCGGGAAGAAGACCTAGAGGATCCTCCAGATGAGCCCAATAATAACTCCCAACCCGGCCCTCGAGGTCCGCCCTGGCTCAGGGCTCGAGAAACTGGTGCCCACTCTAGCCGCTCGGGCCAGACGGTGCATCTCCTGCGGGATGCAGGGTTAGAAGTGTGGGTGGGGAAGAATCTTACACTCAACTGACCTAAGCCCGGGCTGGGCCTCCCCGTTTTGGGGTGTTGCCGGTACACTCCCGCGGGCAGACCGGGCACCCTTTGGCCATAAAGCTCCGTGGGCACGCTGAGCTGAGCCCCGTGTCCTGTAAGGCCAGTGGGGCGACTCCAGCCGCGGCCCCTCGACAGAAGTCAGTCCCAGGCTGGGACTCCACACCGCAGCGTTGGGGACCCAGACACCACTTGGCGCTGCCTGAGACAATGCCCCAAGGTCAGCGGGCCCGTGGCAGCCCAGACTGTAGCCTGGCCGCGACCCTTCCCCACCCACAAGCGGGTCACGATCCAGACACTGGCTCTACACTCGCTTCTCTGCGCTCAGCCAAAGTCTGAGCTGAGTCTCCTGGCAGGGCCGTTTGACCCGGACAGGTCACCTACTGTGGGCCCTGCATTTGCTCCTGCGCACAAACTCACAGGTACAGGCATACCCGAATCGTGTGCATCCCCCGGGCCACAGCACCCCGGGCCGCACACGCAGGCACAAGCACGTGTCCACATGGCACGGGCCCGCTCACGCGCACACGGGCCCCCGGTATCCAGGCGTGGCCGAGCGCGCACACACGCTCATGCAGACAGCTACTCGCTTCTACTAGCGCTCCCCAGTAATCACACACAAACAGAACTCGCACTCGCCTTCCCGCCCACACGTTCCTCGGCGGGGCCGGGGGGAAGCCGGGCGCCCTTAACTTTCCCACCACGGAACCCGCGCGGAGCCGAGCGCAGCTCCGGGGCAGTGCCTGGCAAGGGGGTAGGGTTTGGGGGGGGGAAACCACGTCCTTCCCCTGGGAGGCCCTGCCCTGGAGCCTCCTCTGTGTTCTCGGTCGCGATGGAGTTGGGGGCGGTGGCGAAGAACCGCCCGCCCGAAGTCCGGAGCTGGCACCCAGGGCTCGACATTGCCATCTAGCGGTGTGCACAGGCCTGGGCAGCGGCTGCTTGCCTCCCCAGATCTCCGGCGGGCCTGGATCGCAGAGAAACGCCCCAGAGAGGGTTGCTGTCAGAATGTCTGCGGGGAAACCCGAGGGGTCGAGAAAGAGGGTGGGGAGGACGCACGAGACACCATGCCTCACCCCTTGTGCTGCTGTCAGCTTCCCCTAGCAGACCCAGAGGGGAACTAAACCACCTGTCACCTCTTTGGAGACAAGATGTCCCCCGTGAAGATAAGAGGCCTCTTCTCTTCTGGGAAAGCTAAGTGGGGGAGCCGGCAGGGAGTGGGTGGGGACCCTTAGTTCTTTGGTTTTGAGCAGTGGACAGCAGAGGCAGGAAGTCAACCTGAGACAGGTTGAGGTTGAGAAGGTGGCTCCTGGGTTCTAATCCTGCCGCCCCCCTTACACACCGGATGACTTTGGGCAAGTTAATTAATATTATCCTCATCTGTAAGAAGATACTTAATCAGTGAGATGGGGATACTAATAGTACCTGCCTTATCAGGCTTCTGTAAGGATTAAACCAGATAATCTATATTAAAAAGCTCAGAGGGATTCCTGACTCCTAGTTAACAATAAACAAGGGCTATTATGTTTTTCATATTTGGCACCTCCAGCCCCATTCCCATCTCGCTGGCCTGTGTCCTGTTCCCGGGAGGCTAACGGGGCTTTCCTTGGTGCTGGCGGACAGATCCTTCCTGCCCACCCTGCCCCTGTTTGCACCTGCCTGGGGAGGGCAGCCTCTTCATGCTGGGTGCTTCTGCTCTCCCAGCTCAGAGGGTGACAATTGAAGCTCTCAAAGCTGAAAGGGGGCTGTCAGAGACCCCAGAGAGGGTGGTATTTAGTCTTTGCCCTTGACTCATGTGTGACCTTGGAGATGGCAACACCCTTGTTGAGCCTCCCCTCCTGAGAACCAAGGATTTGGACAGGCAAACGTGAACTGCCAGGCCAGGAGGCTGGGGCTGTGTCTGCAGAGGTGAGTGAGGGGGTTTGAGGCCAGGCGTGGGGCAGGGGGTGGTCACCCTGGCACTTGCCTCCAGCCTCTGGTGCATTTTCATGCTGCAGATGCAAAGTTTAGTTGCTGGTCCCCATAGCTGCTCGGGAGGGGTCCGCGGACCCAGTCCTCTCTATTTTGCAAATGAGAAAGAGAGGGACGGGAAGGTGAGGTGGCTGGTCTAGAGCCAGGACCCTGCTGGCCTTGGAGCCTGGGCTGCTGGGTGAGTGCTCCTTCCTCCACACCGGCTGGCTCTCCGTCTCTCTCTCTCTCTCACACACAGACGCTGAGTATACGACAGCACGCGGGGCTGGCGGGGCTGGGATGGGGCCCGTGTGCGTGTGTGTAATGGTGCTCGTGTTGGCGGGTGTGAAGGAGGCTGGGCTGAACGGCTGCCCTGGCACAGCGCACTGGGCGTGGGCCTCGCTCACGTGTATGGGAGAGGAAGGCGGGGGAGAGATGAAGAGGAACCTGGGTGGGAGCGGGGTGCAGGCTCAGGGGAGGGGCCATGTGCTTGGTGGGGGGCCCAACCGGGGTGCCCTCGGTATGTCCTGGTGGGCCAGGGGGCAGTGCCCTCGGGCTGGCCGCGGGCCCCCCTGCGACATTCCCCTGCCCTCTTCCCTCTGGGACACCCTGGGTCCCCTTTGGGTTCCCAGTTGGGCCCAGGGCTGGCCCTGGCCCCTTGGAAGCCATGTGTGCCTTTCCTCAGCTGACAGGCCCTCTCAGCTTCTCACTCCTCCTGGTCCTCACTCAGCGCCTGGCTGTGGATGGTCCCTACTGCCCCTGCATTGTGTCCCCACCCCTCCGCCCTGGGGCTGGGAGGGGGAGCTCGGGGAGGGGCTGCCACAGTGGTATGCACCTCCCAGACCCTTCTACATGGCACTCTCCTCGTCCTGGGGGGTTCCCCACTCCAGGCCACCCCTGGTCATCCCAGGAGCCTTCCCCGAGGTGGTATCACCGGCTCTTGTGGCCCTTTGGGCCTCCGGCTGCCAGAACCCTCAGCTCTGGGGCAGCAGCAGGACGTCAAGGACTCGTGGAACCTTGGGCGGGTTATTTAACATCTTTGTGCCTCAGTTTCCTCATCTGGAAGTAGTGAAAAATAAAGGTTTCTACTTCACAGACTTGTCGTGAGGAAGACATTAGTTAATATTGATAAAAAGTACAGAAAGTGCCGGACACTTAGTAGACAGTGTTAGCTGCTAATATATATTCTTGCCTGTGTCCCCAGTGCCATCTGGGAGGATGGAGGACAGGTCCCCCGGTGATGTTTGGTTACAAAATGACTGAGGAGGTGAATGAATGAACACTTCTGGCCAGAGCTACATGCTGATTCTGGGACCACTGAAGCCCCTCCCCATCGCTTCTCTGGGCCCCGCCTGCCCTGGCCTTCTCTTGGCGCCCCACACGTGCCCCAGGGCCTTTGCTCTGGCCATTGCCCCCGACTAAGCCACCTCTGCGGCTCTTCACATGGCTGCCTCCTTGCCATTGTCCAGATCCCCTCCTTGGAGAGGCCTTCACTGATCACCCAGCAAGGAAGCGTCCCTGTCTGTCCTCTGACTCACCCACTGTTCTGTTGCCCTGCCTTGTTTTCCTTCTAGCACTTTTTTTGTGGCTCGCATGTTCGTCTGTCTGCCCTGATCAGATTGTCAGCTCCGCGAGGATGGGGGCCGTGTGTGTCTCAATCACCTCTGTAACTCCTGCACCCGGAACAGTGCCTGCACACAGTAGGCCCTCAGTAAGCGACGGATGGGTGAAGAAACGAGCACACGATGGGACACAGTTCTCCAAGGCTCTGCAGGGTGATGTTCCTCTGTCACCTCGAGTTACCTCTCTAAACCACTTCACCAGCTCACCCTTTCCTCTCTCCTTCCTCCTCCAGACGCTGGCCGCCCACCGCCGCTAACCAAAATGGCGAACTTCACACCAGTCAACGGCAGCGCCGGCAACCAGTCTGTACGCTTGGTCACCTCAACGCATAACCGCTACGAGACAGTGGAGATGATATTCATTGCCACGGTGACGGGCTCGTTGAGTCTGGTGACTGTCGTGGGCAACATCCTGGTGATGCTGTCTATCAAGGTCAACAGGCAGCTGCAGACAGTCAACAACTACTTCCTCTTCAGCCTGGCGTGCGCCGATCTCATCATTGGCGCTTTCTCCATGAACCTCTACACCGTGTACATCATCAAGGGCTACTGGCCTCTGGGCGCCGTGGTCTGTGACCTGTGGCTGGCCCTGGACTATGTGGTGAGCAATGCTTCCGTCATGAACCTTCTCATTATCAGCTTCGACCGGTACTTCTGCGTCACCAAGCCCCTCACCTACCCAGCCCGGCGCACCACCAAGATGGCGGGCCTCATGATCGCCGCCGCCTGGGTCCTGTCCTTCGTGCTCTGGGCACCTGCCATCTTGTTCTGGCAGTTCGTGGTGGGCAAGCGGACGGTGCCGGACAACCAGTGCTTCATCCAGTTCCTGTCCAACCCGGCGGTGACCTTCGGCACCGCCATCGCCGCCTTCTACCTGCCTGTGGTCATCATGACGGTGCTCTACATCCACATCTCCCTGGCCAGTCGCAGCCGAGTTCACAAGCACCGGCCCGAGGGCCCCAAGGAGAAGAAGGCCAAGACTCTGGCCTTCCTCAAGAGCCCGCTGATGAAGCAGAGCATCAAGAAAGCCCCGCCAGGGGACCCGGCTCCCGAGGAGCTGCGCAACGGGAAGCTGGAGGAGGCCCCTCCCCCGGTCCTGCCGCCCCCGCCGCGCCCCGTGGCCGACAAGGACACTTCCAACGAGTCCAGCTCCGGCAGCGCCACACACCACACCAAGGAACGGCCGCCCACGGAGCTGTCGACCACGGAGGCCACCACGCCCGCCATGCCTGCCCCTCCCCTCCAGCCGCGGGCCCTCAACCCCGCCTCCAAATGGTCCAAGATCCAGATCGTGACGAAGCAGACTGGCAATGAGTGTGTGACGGCCATCGAGATCGTCCCGGCCACGCCCGCCGGCATGCGCCCGGCGGCCAACGTGGCCCGCAAGTTCGCCAGCATCGCCCGCAACCAGGTGCGCAAGAAGCGGCAGATGGCGGCCCGGGAGCGCAAGGTGACGCGGACCATCTTTGCCATTCTGCTGGCCTTCATCCTCACCTGGACGCCCTACAACGTCATGGTCCTGGTGAACACCTTCTGCCGGAGCTGCATCCCCGACACGGTGTGGTCCATCGGCTACTGGCTCTGCTACGTCAACAGCACCATCAACCCCGCCTGCTACGCCCTCTGCAATGCCACCTTTAAAAAGACCTTCAGGCACCTGCTGCTGTGCCAGTATCGGAACCTCGGCACCGCCAGGTAGGCAGGCAGGGGTGCCGAAGGAGGTGTTGGCGGTCACGTGTGCGCGCTGAGCCACGTGGGCGGTCACGTGGGTGGTCTCTCACGTGGCTGCCGGGGAGCGCTCTGGAAGCGTCCCTCGGTGTTCCTGTTCCCCGACGAGAACTGAGGTGCCCAAGACCCCTGTGAGGCTCAGGAAGAAGCTCTGGCGGGATTCAGAGAGACCAGATCTCGGCTCAGGCTGGGGAGGGTCAGCCCCAGAAGCGTCTGAACCAGGACTGTCCGGCCTCAGGGAGCTGGAGGCACTGGCTTTCTGGGGCACTGCCCCACTGTGACCAACCAGCATGGCTGGAAGAATGAACATCTGGAGGGGAGCAGAAGCCCGGGATCCCCTTGGGAGGAGCAAAGGAGCCGATGCTTGGGAAAGGAGGCTTGGGAAGGGAGTGGAAGGGTAGGGTCTCCCCGTTCTGCTGTAGTTGGTGCTTTCTCCCCGCTGCACCCCGCATGTAGGCCCAGCCCCTCCTCCCAGGTCCCATTCCAGGGGCAGAGCTCGCCCCTTGCTGCAGCTACTCGGCTAGGCGCCGGTTGGGTGGGCGGGTGGGCTAGCTGGAGGCCAGGCTGTTGTGGGCTCTCAGGCCACCCCCCCACCACCACCACCACACTGTCCTGGTCACAGTCAGGATGGGGCAGCTGGGAGGTCAGTGTCTCACACTCAGGAACTGAGGTCTGGCTTCCTGTGGTCCCACGCTGAGCAGAGAGACCCCCCTGGTTCTGAAGAGCCCTCCCAGCAGGCTTCTGCAGCGTGTGAGGGAGGCCTGGGTCTCTGGGGAGAATGGGGGCAGACTTGACCCACACAGGCTTGGGGGGGCGGGGCCAGGGGGGAAGGCAGGCAAGCAGCCCCCACCTCTCCTCTCCCAATGGACGGGAACCTTCTCTTGGTAGTGGGCTATACCAAAAGACCTTTGCTTGAGAGTGGCTGAGATGAGTGTCAGTTCCAGGGAGCCTTCTGGGCTCCCTCCCAGCCTTGGTGTGGTCCCTGGAAAGACCAGACTGAAAGGCTCAGAGGGACTGGACGGGGGCACCCTTTCAGGAGTCAGTCGGGGCCCTGGAAGCAATTTTCATAACCATTCTGCTTTTTCCATGAGCTCTGGGGAGCACTCACCGCCAAGCCCCCAGCCCCCTGAAAGCCAGTCCCAACTGCCTTCCCTTTCCTTCACAGGTCCCTGCCCCAACAAATTACCACAGCAAACTCCCTGGGTTGGGGCTTTTATATATTAAAGGAAAAGCTTTTATTGGGAAGAAAAAAAAAAAACACGACGGTTTATTTATTTCTCAGTAATGGCATCTTTGTGGGGAAGAACAAAAGGCGGTACTGGGATTCACATCCCTCTGGGGCAGGAGGCTCAAGCTGTCCACAGTCCCCTGTCCCTCCCCATGTGGGACACCTGGGGGTGGGGGGTGGAGGAATGACAGGGAAGAAGCAGGGTATGATTGACAAAGCTAACGAGGAGACAAAAGGCACTGGTAGGTGAGCTCTTGGGCCTGTGGGAGGGAGGGCACCGGCCCCGGGCTCCTTGGCATCCAGACCTGGCGGCTAGTCCTTTCCCTTCCCTTTCTTGGCTGTAAAACAAGCAAGAAACAACGTGTTAGCTGAGTTCAGGTGACCTAGTAGAGACGCCGCCCCACCCCTACGCCCCCCGCCCCAGCCTATACATTAGGGAGAAAAGTCTGCCCCCTAGTGGCTGTAGATCAGCGGACCCCGGTCCCCGGGGGAGAGCGCAGCCATATTGATGCTGAACCTGCCCCGACACCAACTCCTATACTTTCACTGGGGCTCGGAAAATCTTCAAGTTCTTGGTCCCCGCAGCCCTCAGCCTCCACCTCCTCGCCTAACAAGTGGGCTGATTCACCTCTGCCCTGATGGCCTCTCTGGGCGGCTGTGAATCAGGAACCAGCCAAGGGATGGCGGGACAGTGAAGTCCTTCTGATACTAGAAAGGACCCAAGCTGACCAAATGTTCCCTCTGGCTGGAGAGATGACAAAGCCAAGCCCTTCCAGGACAACTCCCGGAATCCTAAGCAAAATGCCCCAACAGAACAGAGCGAGTTTGTACTTCCACTCGGGCCAGAAGGATTTAATAACTCCTCAGCACCTTCTGTGGGCCACGCTCAGTACCTGCCCACCTGAGGTATCTCTACAGACAGGAAAAACCGAGGGCAGAGATGTCAGGAAGTCACCCGCCACAGTCCAAAACCCCAGGCGTAACTATTCCCTTTCACAGGTGGTGGCAGCCCCCGGCAATGACCCCCACACCCTCCTCCACTTCCCTGACCTTTGGCTTTGGCTTTGGTCTTGGGGGTGCAGGGCTTGGTCACTCGGATGGTCTCCTGGCACTGGGCATTGTACCGCGCCTTCTTCAGGGTGCCTTGGCGGGCTTTGGTGCCCGTGCCCCCATCACACGCCCCCCAGCTCTCAAACTTGTACTTGCAGTCGGCTGGCGGGAGAGCGCCCCAGGTCAGATCTGGGCAGCCAGTGGCTGGAGGCCACAGACCTGCCCACGTTTCGGCGAGGCTGGGCCCCTCCCCTCCCCTCCCCTCCGCCTGCGCCCCACCTCACCTCCAAACTCCTTCTTCCAGTTGCAAGGCACCCTGCACCGGATGCGCTGAGTCTGGGCCCCACAGGTACCCTCGCGGAAACCCGCGCCGCAGTCCTTGCTGCTGGGGGTGCAGGGCCCCCAGGTCCACTCCACGCACTCGCTCCCCGGGCCGCCCTTCTTCACTTTGTCTAAGACGCACGGGGAACGGAGCTCAGACATACTCGGGGACCGCTTCCTGGGGTCCGGGCCTCGGAACCCGGCGGCCAGGCCCGAGGCTGCCGGCCTCACCGGCCCGTCTCCAGCCCTCCTCCAGTTCCCCACACCCCGTATCACCTTTCTTTTTGGCCACCGCGGAGGCGAGCGCCAGCAGGGTGAGAAGGGCGAGGAGGAGGACGCCTCGGTGCTGCATCCTGCGGGGGAGAGGTCGGGTCAGAGGCCCCCGCCCGCCCCCTTCCCCACGGGGGGCCGCACGCGCGCACCTCCCACCCCCGTCCCCACGCTCCAGGCCCACGGGCCGCGGCGGCGGCGGCGGCGGCGGGAGGGCTCTGGGGTCGGCCCCTCGCCGCTAGTCGGGGCGCACAGCCGGAGGCGTCTCCCTGGGGGCGGCCTGGAGCCCAGGACGCAGCTCAGACCCCCACACGCCTCCGGGCCCCGGGTCGCCTGGGGCCCAGCGGGCGAGGGGCCGAGGCCGCCGCCGCACGTCGGCCGGGGCCACCGCGCGCTCACTCGCTCGCTGCCCGCCGTGCTGCGCTCCCTCCCACGCCGGGCCCGTCCCGCTCCGGCCGCCGCGGCCCCTTTTGTCTCCAGAACCGGTCTGAGCCGGTCACATGGGCCCCCGCCCCCTCCCCGCCCCCCCACCCCCACCGAGCAAGGACCCGCCCCGCCCCCTCCCCTCAAACCCGCGCCGCCCCCCGACCCCGGCGTCCCCGCCTCCGCTCCCGCCCCGCGCCCCCGGGCGCTTCTACCCCGGCTTCCCGCCGCGGGTCCCCGCACCCCCCGTTCACCCCGCCCGGGCCGTCCGCGTTCAGACGACGGGCTCTGTCGGCTCCCCCCCTCCCCCGCCCATCTTCCGAGCCCGGGGTCTCCCGGCCCCAGGCCCTTGCCCTGCCTTGGCTCCCCCGGCCCCTGCCCCAGCCCCAGCTTTCCGCCGCCGCCTCTGCCCCCTCCCCGGGGCCGTTCTCTTTCCCCGCTGGACGCCCGCCTTCCTTCCCGGGGAGGGAAGACTGGGAGGATGAGGTCTTGGGAGGGAGCTCGGAGCCCCGGGGGTGTCACGGGTCCCGGCGCTCGGCGCAGAGGCCGCATTCCAGCCTGTGTGCGGCTCCGTCCCCCGAAGACTGTTTAACCCCGTCGAGGACCGGCCCTCTGCGCCCCCTTAGCTGCTGGGGAAGGAGCGCCAGCCCCCACCTCGGGTCGCTTCACCAAGTGTGCAGGGAGCCGCTCTGCTCAGTGCTAGGGGAGCCCCAGAGAAAGCGCTCGGGCTCGGGGGACGCGGACGGCGCCGCGCCTTTCAGGAGCGCAGGTTTTCGGGGGCGGGAGCTGGGGGAAGTTGGGGGGTTGGGGAGCAGCCCGCAGGTCTGGATTTGGTGAGGCTTGGGAGCTGACAAGCGCCGTCTGAGAAGTTCCAGACCCAGCCAAGGCGGCGGCTGCAAATGCCCACCCCTTCCGACCCTGGGGCCTCGGGGATCACCTCACCCGATCCCCTAAACAGCAAAAGTAACTGGGGCCTGGGGGGAGAGGGCTTGCCCAAGGCCACAGGGCAAAGGGACCGAAGAATCCAGGCCTCGCCCCCCGCCCCACCTCTCTTTCACTTTCATTGTTGTCGTCCCTGCGGGAAGCGGGAAGCGAGAGGAAATCAGCTCCTCCCCCGGCCCCGCCGAGCCGTGCTGCCAGGCCGAGGTCAGGTCCCGGGCAGGCCTGAGACCCCACCCCCAAACGGGAACCAGGACCCCCCAGAAGAGGGTCTGCAGAGGCCCAGGGCGTCCAGTCCCCCCACCACCAGACCCCGCTGCTTCTGGAAGACCTCCTCCGCAAGAAAAGAAGAGCAGAAAGGAAAAAAGTCCACTTTACTGAGTCACACCCAGCTGTAAACATGTCACCACGAGAGCCCCACTCCAACCCCCAGGCCACACGGTCGGCGGTGGTGAAATGACTGGGTACACGGGGAGGGTCTCGGGGGCGTAGGCGCCAAGCAGGGCGGCGGGCAGGCAAACGCAGCAGGCTCTGTTTCCGGGAGGAAGCCCCCCGGGGGGGGCGTGTCAGGGCAGGAGAGAGGGCCCAAGCTGTCCGCAGGCTCAGAGTGGGGCCCTCGTGGCCCAGGCGGCTTAGGAAGCCTCTTCCCGAAGGCTCCCTGATAAGGGCCCCAAGCCCCGCTGCCCTCCCCCTCTACCCCTAACCCCTAGGGAGGGCACCCGCCGCAGGGAGGGTGATGGTGGCCCTGAGGTGGTCCCACCCCAGTCCCCCAAAGGCCTGCCCGATCCAGTCCAGTTTCCTGTTCCCCTGTCAGGCCCGGGTCAGGCTGGGGCCTCAGGGGGACAGGTGGGATCCCCCCAGCTCCTCAGAGTCCAGCCCCAGGCCTGGGCGGCTCCACAGGCGGCAGCACGGGGCTCCTTCCCTGGGGCACGGGTCCCCCCGTGGTCATCCGACTGGAATGTGGCAGTGAGGTGGGCAATGAGGGGCTCCTCCCCTGGCTGGCCCTGTCCGTCCTGCTACACGGCTGTCTCTTGGTCCTCCCGCTGGATCATCTGGTAGTGCTGCCGGTTCTCCAAGTAGGCAGCGAGCTCCGTGTCCTGAGCCTTCTCGGCCCGCTGCCGGGGAGTGTCGCCCTGGAGGGGGGGGGGGGCGGCTGCCATCACTTCAGGGGCCTGAGGAGAGGGCAGGGGACCTTCCCTCCAGGTGGCCGGTGAGCAAAGGAAAAGCTTCTGAGGACAGGCAGTCGTGGGCTGCCCACCCGCCCCAACAGCCCCTCTCCAGCGCAGGCTCAGGTTTTTAAGAGTCCAGAGGGTGTTGGTTGAAGGACAGCTTCCAGTCCTAAGAGGTGGCTCTCCTCCATGGCTCCGTGCTCACAAGGGCCCGCGCTGGGGAAAGGGCTGCTCTGTGGCCACGCGGGCTCCCTGCCAGTCTGCTCACCTGCTGGTCTGTCTTCATGAGAGAGGCCCCCGCCTCCACGATGTAGTGGCAGATGGTGCGCTGGCCCAGGGCTGCGGCCTGGTGCAGACAGGTCTCCCCGCTGTGGAAACAGGGGCTGGCTGTGGACCCCCATCCTGTCCTCGGGGCCCTCTGTCCCGTCTCCAGAGGGCGGTCAGACACAGAAGGGAACACGGGGCTGTGGGGCAAAGGCTGAGCGGATGTGGCCAGTAAGGGTTTCTAGGCTCAGCCGAGTGGGAGCGGCTACATGAAGACGGGGCAGTTTCCAGGGTGACCAAGGTCTCGCACTGCCCAGATACTCACTTCTCCTCCACAGCGTCAAGGATCTCTGGGGGGGCTGGAGGAGAGGGGAGGGGGTGGTCAGGGAAGCCGGCCATCTCCCCTCCTCCTGCCCTGGCCCCGGGGCCCCAGTGGCCGAGCTCACCGTGGTCCAGCAGGTAGCGGACCACATCCTTGCTCCCCGTGCTGACGGCATGGTGCAGGAGCGTGCGGCTCTGCTCGTCCCGGTGCATGAGGTCACCCCCAGCTCGGTGCAACTCCTGGAGCTGAGGGCAGGAGGCAGAGCAGGGCTGGGGCTCCTCACGGCCACCCGCCTGCCAGCCACAGAAATGTCCCCCAACTCCCATAGGCCCCAGGCCTGACACTACCGTGCTCACACACGTCATCCCTCTGGGTGTCTTTCTGAAGTGCAGGGGAGAGACCGGGGCTTCTAGACTCCCCGGGAGCACTAAGCACCGGGCCCTGGGGCCTGTGGTTCCTCTAAGACTTGCTCCTCTCTGAGCACCGGGGACAGGCCGACTGTGCTAGCAAGCCCCTACGAAGGGACACTGTGAGCTGGACAGGGGCAAGGCGGAAGGGGACAATCAGCACGGAGACCCTGCAGAGGGCGAGACGATGACAGGCTAACTGGGCCCCACCCAGAGGCCCTGCCACCCAGGGCGCGCGAGCTCAGGGCGGCGGGGTGGGGGGTCCGAGCCCTCCTAGTACCTTACAGAAGTTGTTCCTCCTGGCAGCCTCAATCAGCTCCTCACCTGCACGGAACACCTGCCCGTTACACCCTGGGGCCGCAGGCGCCAGCCCTGCGTGGGTGCAGACGTGCTGGGCGGAAGCCCTGGCTGTGGGGGGCTGTGGGGGGCTCCACCCCCACCCTCACCCAGGACCAGGGAGAAGGGAGAGGCCTCACCTTTAGGGGGCACCGCATCCCCTGGCAGTGACCTGCAAGCAGAGCAGGATGAAATGGACCCAGCGACAGCTGTCACCCCCCCTGCCCCAACCAGGGGGTGCCCTGTGTTCTGTCAAGTTTATTGAGTGCCTCCTACACAGCAGGTGCCGCGCCGGGTGCTGGCGACACAGCAGTGAACAAGACACACGGAGAGCTTGTTCTCACGGAGCTTACATTTTAGTCAGGGAGACAGACATGTCAACAAAGAAAGAAGGCCTCCTCAGAGCGGGAAGGGCTACGAAGAACACAAGGCGGCGTGCTGTGATCTCACAGCAACGGCAGCCGGGGCTCCTGGGAAGACTTCTCTGGGGAGGAAACTCCCAAGCTGAGGTGTGAGCGGAGCGGGGAGCTCGGGGAGGCCTGGGGACGGTCCTGAGGCGGGCACACTGGAGGCCACGAGGGGCCGGGAAGGGAACGGCGCTGGGCAGTGCAGATGGAGGGGAGCTTGGAGGCCCCGGCTCAGGCTGCCGTGCTCGGATGTTGGGGGACAGCAGACAGGACTGCAGAAGAGAAGTCAGAGGGGGGGCCCAGGTCTCCGGCCAGCGCAGCAGGGTGGATGGCGACGCCACTGCCCTGGGGCAGCGGCAAAGGGCTGGTCAGTTGGGCTTTGGCCAGGTTTGGTTCTCTGCCAGTGACTCAGCCAGGGAGGGGCCTGTGGGGACCAGGCAGCCAGCTGGACAGTGGACATGTGTCTGGCGCTGAAGGCAGGACGGCAGGAGGTACCGGCTTATAGGTGGGGTTTCGAGCCAGGGGACTGGAGGAGACGCAGGACTCACCGGAGCGTGGGTGAGCAGGGGGAGGTGGGGAGAGGGGAAGTGGGGGTTGGGAGGTCAGGCCGGGCCGATGCCCCCAGCAGCTCAGGGTCCAAGATATAAATCTCGTCCTGTGCGATCTCAGTTACATAGTTGAGGTGCTCCTGTGGGTGGGGAGGTCAGGGGCCAAGAGTCAGGACCTTCCAGGGTAGCCGACGGCGGCAGTACGGATGCAGCCAGGCCAGGGGGCCCGGAGAAGCCTCCGGCAGGTGGAAGCTGCGTGAGGGGCCCTGCCAGTCTCCCTCCCCGTGGCCTTCCCAGCTCCTTCCCACTGCTGAGCCTTTGCCAGGGGCACCTAGCACCTGGCCAGAAGTGCCTTCACCTCTGTAGCTCACCGGCCCCTTTTGTGGGCATGCCAGCTCCCTCTGCCGGTGGGCAGCATGCCTATGCCCTATCTGTGAGCATGAACCGGTGTGCAGGCACCACCCAGCAGGCCGAGGGGCAAGCGTGTCTGCGGAAGTGCGGGCAAAGGCAGAGGGGCCCCGCGGTGGCCCGGAGGGACTGCGAGTGCTCACCTGGGCCCGGTCGATCCTGTAGAAGCGGCTGGCAGTGGTGGCTGTGAGGGGGGCAGAGAGCTGTCTTGAGGTGGCAGGAGGCCCTTATCCAGGCCCAGATAGTCGCTGCCCCACCGGGAGCCCTGCGGGAGGGGGCAGGACACAGCCCAGGACCCGTCAGGTGCTGGTCCTTCGGGGCCACTCACCGTCTAGGAAGCACCACTTAGGGGACAGTTTCTGGGAGGTGGGGGACTTGGCTCCAGCACCTTCGGGCTCCTGCCATGAGAAGTGAAGGCCGAAAGTTGGCAGAGAACAGAAACTAGAGCGGGTGGGCCCAAACGGGGCAGGCTCCCGACCCCCTCACCTGCTGGAGCCTCTCGATGTGGGCGCGGCAGAGCTCCAGGTCGCTGTCTCCGGGGACCACCACGGTGCCCAGTGGCACGGCTGGTGGGCAGAGCAGGGTGTCAGCGGCTGGGCGTACTCCCCTGCCTGGCCCTCAGGGCCCCCCAGCAGCTCCTTGCCACCCAACCACACCCCCCCCACTTGCCACTCACAGGCCTCCTTGAGCTGCTCCTTATCGTAGTGCAGGGCCTCGTAGTCATGCATGCTGACCCTGCTCACCTGGATCCGCAGCTGCTCAGGCACGGGCTGCTGGCTGGGGCACAGGCGGTAAGAGAGCGCTTGGGAAGGGTCCTCGGCCAGGTGCCAGACCAAGGGGCACCTGCCCCGCCTTCCCGGGACAGAGCAACTGGTAGCCCTGTCTCCAGCTGGGGAAACTGAGGCTCGAGAGAGGGGCAGTGTCTGGTGGTGGCTGGGAGGGGAACATACTCGCTGTGCAGGGGGGCGGTGCTCCGCCGCTTGGCCTTCTGCACCATAGTGGCCTGGTTGCGCAGGGCGATGCGAATGCGCGAGGCCGCGAGCTTGCAGGGCTCACCATCCACCTGCACTGGGATGGCCTTGGACGTGGTGAGTACCACCTCACGGCACTGTGTCAACCGCTCGCCGTGCCCGCCCACCTGCAGCGCCGCCTGTGGGCGCAGGAGGCTCAGGTCAGGAGCCGGGACTGGGGTAGTGGGGCCCGAAGCTCTGTTCCCCCGCACGGATGCTCTGGCCAGGGAAGAGAGCGACAACAATGCCGCAGAGAGCAGAGGGAGGATAGGACCCCAGTCGGGGGCGGGGGGGGGGGGGCAGAACAAGACCCTGGTCAGAGAAGGGAGGGGGAACCCCGGCCAGGGAGATGAGCGTGAATTCTCCCATCTTGGCCAGTGAAGGGGAGTTTGGTGACCCCCCCCACTTCCATCTTGGGACAGTGCTCCTGGTCGCTGTGGGGACAGAGCCAGGGCTCCAGGCAGGCCCCACATGGGCCCACTCACCAGGGACGTCATGGTGAAGCCAATGACCTCGAGGTAGCCATCGTCGTGCCGCTGGGGCTCAAAGTCGTGATGCTCCCCAGGGTGGCCCCAGGGCATGGTACCCGCGCAGTACCTGAAGGGGAAAGCAACACAAGGGCCTTCAGAGGACAGTCGTGCAGGGCGGAGACATCAGGGCACACGTGGAGCCCTCCCCTCCTCACCTGGGGATGTTCAGGAAAACAATGCACTGGGGTTTCAGGTCCTGAATCTTGGGGGTCAGGTCAGTCCCGTCACACTGCAGGCAGGAACAGGGGAGGGTGCAGGGCATATACGGTGCCAAGGTGGCCTCCATCCCCGCTGGGCCCACCCACCTTGCCCGCCTGCTTGGCCCACTTACCACCACTCGGATGTGCTTGGCCAAGTCCTTAGAGCTGCCCATCAGGAAGTCAGAGAAGGCTGTCTGTGGGCAAGAGAGGGCGTCACCATCTGGCGACAGGGATTTCTGCTCACCACTGCCCGGCAGGGGTCCTGTGGCCTGGCAGATACAGGTATGCAGGGGGCACAGGCAGTAGAACAGTGGGCATGGCGGGGGCCGGGGGGAGAGCGGGGGGGCCCTGTTGCTGGCAGATCCCAGACTCACCCCGGCATAGAACATCTTATTCCTAAAGCGGCTGTTGAATTTCTCTGGGTTGGCCTCTGGGGGGCGACAAGAACCGGGACAGTCAGTCATTCTGAACCTGCTGGGGCTTCCCAGGCTGGGGTGGGGAACGAGGGCTGAGAACTGCCGGGGCCAAGTTCTGACCCTCTCGGGACCCTCCTGTGTCCTCCCCTCCCCAGCCTCCAGCCTCAGCAAGTGGTTGCCCACCTCGAGACTCATGAAACTCCAGGGTGACGTGGGCATCAAAGCCCAGGCTGAAGTAGTTGTTGAAGACATCCAGGGGCAGCTGGAAAAAGGTCAAGGGCCCAGCCATGAGGGCTGGGCCACACAGCCACCTCCCTCCTCTGGCCTGCTCTGGCCACCAGGCTGGCTTGGCCCACGCAGTTCTGGAAGCCTTTCCCACAGTTAACAGGATCCTCCAAGAAGCTCTTCCCTCTAGCCCGCAGCCTGCTTCCAGTTCTGCCCTCTCGGCTCCTAGCTCCTGTGGGGCTGCTCCAAGTGCCCCGTATACCGAACACCCTGGGCCCTGCTGGCACGCTCTTCCCTGGCTTTCCAGTCCTCCCACCCCTGACACTTCGTCCACAAGTGCCGTATTCTGTAGGGGCTCCGTGAGAACAGGGACTTTGTTTCGTTGCTGCTTAAAATGATGCCTGGCATGTGGTAGATATTCAGTAAATATTTGCCCAGCAGCTAGCTTACGGGGTACCATTATTCCCATCGTACAGGAGAGGCCGAAAGCCTGGAGAAATGACGAGATTTGTCCAAAGCCCCAGAACCGGCAAGTGGGACAGAGGGCTTCCCCCATCGAGGCCCTGGCCAACCTACCCGGTCAGTGGCGCCGTCATCACGCTCCTCTGGCCCCGCGTCGGGGTTGGGCTCAGCACGGAGGTCCCAGCGGTCTAGCTGCACCACGTTCCCCTCCTCCACGTGGGAGAGGATCTTGGACACGGGCTCATCCGTGTAGCCCTGGGGGGACAAGGCAGGAACTGAGCCTCTCTTGGGGAGAGGCCCCCCGCCAGCAGCACAGCTCACCCCCGCCTCTGGGCTCTTACCCCACCCCAGTTGAGGGTACGGGCCAAGTCATTGCCAGTGCCCAGGGGCAGAATGGCAACAGGGGGTGGTGGCTTTAAGCGCAGCTGGTCCAGAGTGGAGAGGATCCAGCCAACCTGGAGGGGCAGAGCAGAAGAGGCCAGGTCAGACCAGAGGGGCCCAGACTCGGGCCCCCCCGCTGGAGAGGCAGGAGGACTCACCGTGCCGTCGCCTCCACACGCCAGGATCCGCAGGTTGTGCACTTTGCGGTACATCTCCAGCCTAGAGTCAGAGGACAGGAACAGGGCCAAGGGATGTGCGCCTTACCCTCTGCGCCAGGCAAGCCCTCCCCACCATCTCCAGAGAGCTGCGGCAAGTACTTACGCCTCCTTGGGCCCTCCCTGGCTCAGGTCAAAGACTTGTCGGGGGTTGAGATACCACAGGAAGGACTGGATGATCTTAGCGCCCTGTAGGGGGGACCGGGGTAGTAGGTCAGGGCTGGTGGACTGAGGTGGGGAGAAGCATGGGAGGAGGAGGAAGGATGTGGCTGTGGGAACCAGGCCCAGCAAGGGGCGAGGGGTGCAGACAGGCTCCGATTTCCTCAGGATCTCTGGGCAAGAGGGATGGGGCAGGAGCCTGCAATGGAACTTGGGAGCATTTGCTGGGGAGGGAAGGGGTGCAGAGCTTGACCCCGCTCCTCCCGCGGAGGCTTTCAATGGAGAGAGGAGGCTGTGCGTACCTGGTTGCCCCCACTCTTGGGGTTCACAAACACCAGCAGGGGCTTCATGAGGGGCGACGGGGTGGGCCTGATGATGAAGGGTCTCCAGCGGCCCTCCTTGGAGACAGAGAGACTCTAAGGCTCTACCCTGGCTTGACAGACCTCACCCCCGTTCTTGGCGGTGCCCCGTCATGTTCCGCCTCCAGGGCAGACCTTAAGGTGGGCCTGGCCACAGAGAGGCAACTCAGATCTGGCCTCCCACCTTCCTCAGGGGCCCAGGGAGCTCAGTACTTCAAGAAACAGGCCCCTCTTTCCTGTTCCCCTCCAGGTGCCCACCCAGCCCCAGGACTAACCTCTGGCCCTTTCTTGCTAGATTTCCTCTTGAAGGATGCTCTCTTTTTCTTCTTACTTGCCTTGAGGGTATTCTGCAAGGGAAGCAGGGGCATTGGCGACAAGGCAGGTGGGCTGGGGCGGCTGGTAGAGCCTACGTGTGGGGGGTGGCGTCACGGGTGCAGGCAGGACTCACCTGTGGCCTGCGGGCGCGGAGGATCCAGGTGGGCGGGATGACCACAGCAGCGTGCACGCCCAGGGAGCACGGCTCCTCTATCTGTTGCAGCATGAAGCAGGACACCTTGCTGTGGTACTGGGGGGGTGGGGTGCGCAGCTGAGCTGGGCCTGAGCTGAGCCCTGGGAGCGCCCCTCCCAGGGCCACTCAGGGGACAGCCTCCGGGGGGCCGGGGCGAGCACCACTTACTGCCTGCTTGCACCAGGAGCAACTGATGGCCACAATCTCCTTGCTGTGGAAGGTGAACTTCTGCTGGAAGCCCTAGGGTGGGGAGGGTGGTTGGGGCACCAGCGGCCGGGCCCAGAGCAGCAGGCCCAGCCCCTCTTCCGTGGCCAACCTCTCTCTACCCAGGGAAATTGAGTTCATTTTTAAAAATTAAAACAACAGTCAAATAAGCCCCTGGAGCAGGGAGGCCTGCGAGTCTCTGAAGTCACCCGCAAGGCGCTGGGTGCACACATCCGATCTGTTAGGAGGGGTCACAGCTAACTCCTGCCAGTGGAGATCCCCTCCTTCCTGACCCCAGACCCCGAAGCCCCCCGGTACATGCTTAGAGTGCTTCACACTTCTTCACGACACCTGTCACATTCACTCCCTTGTTCATTCCACAGACATTTACTGAGGGCCTGCTGTGGGCCGGACCCCGTGCTCGGCACTGAAAGTGAGCAGAGGAAAGAGGGACGAGGCCCCGAGACCTTCTAGAGCCTGCGCTTACTGAGGGAAACAGAGCAGAAGCAGAGAAGGAGTAAGTGGCCGCCACACTGTGGACTGTGCCCAGGAAGACTGCCCGCAGAGTCTGTCTTCAAGTCACATCCTCCTCCAGGAAGGCAGGGACCTCACTACCCAGCTCGGGGCTCAGCACCCAACAGGGGCTCAACAAATTACTGTGCTCAGTTACCAAATGAGTACGTCTATACAATTCTCAGAGGGCTCCCGCACGGCTTCAAGGTGGTCCAGATACACCGCTCTAGAAGCTCACTTTCTTCCCTGCTCTCCCGCTCCGTCCAGAGACCTGGGTGTTTTGGGACTGACGGGGCACCTCAGCCAGGTTGGGAGTGAGCCCTAGGACTCCGCACTCAGGAGACACCGTCAGCCACGGGCAGCTCACACTGGACTCATGGCCCGAGGCTCGGGGGCCGCAGGGTCCAGGTCCGGCGGGGAGTGGGCTGGCCCACCTCCCGGGGCAGAGCCTCACCTTCCCACAGTGGCGACACTTGCCATCCTGGCGTCGCCGGTGTACCCAGTGGTGCCGCACAAAGGTTGGCTGGTGGAGGAAGAGAGAGTATCACTAGAGTGAGGGGTGGAGAGGCGCAAGCCCTGAGTGTGGCCTGCACCCCTCAATATATTAACGTGAGGCATGGGGCTGCAGGAAGCTCTCTGCAGAAGCCTGTGTGAGGTGAGATCGGCTGGAGGCTTCTTTCTCTCCATGGCCTCCGGGCAGGGGCCGAGGCTCCGGCGGGGGGAGAAGAGCAAGGAGGCAAGAGAGGCAGGCGGTGCCTCCCCCCCGCCCCGCAGGCAGGGCCAGCCAGGCCTTCCCCCATCGAGGCCCTCTCCCAAGCCTCAGCCCTGCACCTCCCTGCACCCCAGAGCAGCCTCAAAGGGGCACTCTGGAGACACTGCAGAGAAGCCCCCTCAGGAAACCTGGGGCCTCCTCACCCATAACTACCCTGGGCACTTACCTCACGGATGTTCCTGGAGCCTGATTCGCGGAAGGACGGCTTACAGCGGAAATTTATCTGTGAAGCATTGCAATGACCACCCAGATGTCAGAGCCTCCTTTCAGGGGCTCAGGCATCTAGCCACCTTCTCCAGCAGTGTCACTCAGGGTCATCCTCACAAGGCAGGGATAGCCCCAAATCATCCTGGGAGCTCTCAGAATGTAAGACCCCTCCTCTCCACTAGCCAGAAGGACCCCTTCCTTCCTCTGTCAGCCTGCTGGGATGGGGCACACTGGGAGTGTCCACCTCCCCCACTAAAAGGCAGCATACTGTACTCCCCCTAGATTTTCCCTCACCCTCTGGGGCTCCTAGCCGAGGCGCATGCAGGCGCCCTGATCCTTGCTGGCAGACCTGTGCTGGCCGGTCCCTGGAGACCATTAGCTCGTCTGTGGAAACTGGTTTGGTCTCCACCTCGGGCTCTGGAACGCCTGGAGCTAGGTTTGTTTCTCTTTTCCCAACTGCCCCTGCTTCAGCCTTAGCACAGTTGCGGGGAAACCTCGCTCTAGAGTCAGGGGCTGGGGCAAGCAGCCCATGTTGGCCTTGTTCGTGCTGGTCCTAGTCCTACAGGTTTTCCCATGTGCTGACTGGGGTTTCTGCTGCCTGGGGAGCCCTCCCACCCTCTGCCCGGACCTGCCTCCCCAGTGTTCCCTCTACTTCCCTTTGGAAGCACGGGGCCCAGACAGGCCACCAGCTGTCGATGCACTGCGGACAACTGTCCTTAGGGAAGGGTCTCTAGGGCAGGAGTGTGTAGTGGACAGGGCCAAGCTTCGGCAAGACAACAGCCCCTTCTAAATGTGGACTTTGGTGTGGGTAAGATGGTGTCTTGGCCGTCACTCACTCATTCATCCTACTAACAGTCAGTGAGCCCCACTCTGTGCCAGGCTTGTTCTGGGCAGGGGGGGTAGGATAGATAAAAAGGGGGGAGACAGGATTCAAATGCAGGCATTTCAGCTCCAGGGTCTTTGGCTCTACACCACCACGCAGGCTGGGACGCTCTTGGCAGGTGAGGCGTGTAACGTGAATATGCATGCAGAGACACACACCTGTGTGTACTAAGATGCCTTCAGCACCCAAAAGGGAGGGGCGGGAAAGGCTGAGCACCCATCCTCACCTTCTCCAGCTGTTCGATGCAAGGGGTGTGCACCACGATCTTGCAGGCTGCACACTTTCTCCGGGACACTGATTTCTGCTGCAGAAAACGAAGAGTGGGCCCTGAGGCACCAGGTAACTCCATCCAGAATGCTGCCCCAGGGCAGGAAGAGAAATCCTTACATGTGCCCCGGCACAGCTGCCCTCTGTGTTCACTGGGAATTCCCAGTCCTGGCATCAGAACACAGCCCCCATTCCTCCTGCCGTCCTCAGGCAGCCCTCAGCAGGGGCGCTCAGGGGAGTGGCTGGTTCCCACCTTCCCTGGGAAGGGCTACAGAGGCCAGCAGAAGTCTGCCTACAGGCTTCTAGACCCGCTCCACCAGCAGGGGGCAGCATGCCACCCAGGGCTCACTCACCAGCATCTTAGCTACACAGTACTGCTCCCCAACGTAGCAGAAGTCCCCCGACACGTTGGTCTCGAACCAGATGTGCTCCCCATACGTCGCGGACTCCTAGACCACGAGATGAGCGTGCTCAGTGCCAGCCTGCTACCCGACCCGTCAGTCCCTGCCCTGCCCTACAGACTCACTTCTCTCCCAAGACAAACCTGCTCCAGCTACCGCAATCTACTCTGCTCCATCCTGTTTCCCCACTGTCCCTTTTTTTTTTCTTGAAGATTTAAAAAAGTTTTTTTAAGTAATCTCTACACCCAACATGGAGTTCAAACTTACAACCCCCGATATCAGGAGCCGCAAGCTCCACCAACTGAGCCTGCCGGGCCGGGCGCTCCTCCCACTATCCCTGCTCTTGAGGGCTTGGCTCAAACGTGGCCACCCCAGCAGGTCTGCCCCGGACCCCTCCCGCAGCTGCCCCCGCACTCCCCTCCACCTCCAGCTGCTGCCCTGGTACCCACCTGCCCCTCCCTCCCAGCACCCTGCCACTCACACTCCAGTCCACAGTGCTCCGGATCTGCCGCTCCGGCTCGCTGCACAGGGCCCCGGGAGTGGGAGGAGGGGGTGCCAGGTGCTGCAGCCCCGACTTGGTGATGGCTTTCCTGCAGAAAAGGAGATCGCTGAGGCCAGCTGAACACCTGGTGACTCTGCTGCCTTCCCCCCCTTACCTGGGACCTCTGCCCTCACTGTGACTTCAACCCCCGGACAAAACAGCGACCACAGTGAGGAGGGTAGGGGATGCCCCACAGCAGCCTAGGGCTCTGGGAGGTTCCCTGCAGGAGACTTAGCCCTCCTCACAGCCCTTGTGGGGTGCGCTGGCTTCCAGGCACTGTCCCGAGCTATTCCCAAGAGGGGCGGAGGGGTGGGGGTGGGCCGCAGGCCAGCCCCCTTGCCCTGCCGGCCACAGCTATACCTACGCAAGCAGGGCACTCCAGGTCTGGGGTCCTGCTGACTTGCGCCGTAGGGCCACCTGGCGCCTGCGGGACAGCGGGCGCACACGGGTGGGCATCAGAGCACCAGCTGTGGTGCCTGAGGCTCTTCGGGCCCCAGGGCCAGGGTGCTGGCCGGGGGGCTGCTGCTGGCTGAGGCGCCGATAGTAACCGTGCAGGCCCCAGAGGGCCCGGTCATACACCACGTCCGCAGGGAGCAGGGGGGCGGAGGGCCGGCGCCGGCGCAGGCAGCGAAGCATGGGCACGAGGGTGCCCCGGTGTGAGGAGGACCCCGGTCTCTTGGCTCCCGGCTGCGTGGCCCTCAATGCCGCAGCAGCCACATCCTCCTCCTCGGGCACGCCTATGATCCCAGCCAACAGCAGGGGTGTGCCCAGAGGCTGCGCCCTGACTGCGGCAGGCTGTGGGGCGGGCACCTTATCCACGACGAAGCGGGGGCTGCAGGCAGGGGGCACGGTGCTGGAGCGCCGGCGGCTGGTGCCCCGGGCCCCCACCCCGCAGCTCAGGAGGCAGCCCTGGAGCTGTGCGCTGGAGCGGCGCCGCTGCACCAGCGAGGAGGAGGCCTGCCCGGCAGGGGAGCGGCGTCGGGCCTTGCCTGTGGGCAGCCCCACGCCACTGGGCCGCCGCTGCCCCTCCCCGGGGCCCAGCGCCTTCCGCAGGAAGCGTCTCCTAAAGAAGGTCTCCATGGCAGGGCCAGGTGGATGGCTGTTGGGCAGAGACCAGGAGCATCAGGAGCTGGGCCAGGCTATGGCCCACCCTGCGCCCAGGAGCCCAGTCACAGCCTCTGCCCTTTAAGCAGAGAAGGGACACAGCGGGGGAAGGGGGAGGGCCCACGGCCTCCGACCTCCATAAACACGGTGTTTGAGGGTACCACGGAGTCCTCTGGGGAGCCCACATTTACCACTGACGGAAGCACTAACACCCCCGTCCCCCCCAGTTATACCCTATGCTGCCCCAGGAGTAATGGGTACAAGGGGCTTCCAGCCAGCCATGTGGCTCCCCTGTCCAAGCACCATGAACCACAAAGCCCTGGCCTTTGACTCCCTCTCCTGAAGCTGATGGAAAAGAAAAAAAGGAAGCCGGAAGCCCGCAGTCCTGGGTTCTCGGTTGCAGCTGGCCTCTACAGACAGAGGGGCCAAGGATAAGCCTTTTCTTTGCCCCGCATTGGGCCTTTGTTTGGCTACCGACTCAGGGCAGCTTAGGTTTAGGTGCCCCTCCTGGGCAACGGCACAAACTAAGCTATGATCATAAAACGAGGCTCTCTGGAAAGAAATTCCATCTGGATGAGAGCCCCAGATTCTCTCAGCCCCACTCATGGGGTCAGGCTGAGGGTGGCACTAGAAATGGAGCCGCTCTGACTTAGGGATCAAAGGCCCTGGGGACCAAGGCCCTCAGGACCGGAGGAGAGCTGCACAGGGGGAGAGCCACCCTAGGCCTCACGCAGGGGCACTTTGTATGGGGAGAAACGAGAGGCCTGAACCAAGAGAAAAGCCTTCCAGGTACATTCTGGGTGTGCATCTCTATCTCTGAGTGGCTAAAAGAAAACTTTCCTGTACTGAACTGCTCTGTCTTATTACCCTTCTGCAGAGGCCGAGTATGGATCTCCCATGTGTGAAAGTACTGGCTGACGGCTGATGTCTGAAAACCCTTCCGGCCCTGCTGCCAAGGGAGCCTGTGAACTGCACTTTGTCCGAGGGGCCAACGCTGGAAGCTCCAACTCTCCACCCCAGAGTACCGTCCTGCAGGGAAGCAGAACCCATTGGGACCATCCTTCCTCAAACCATCCTCCCTTGACCTGTGCTGAACACGGGCCCAGCTTCCTTCGCCAGCTCGCCTACTCCTGGCTGCCCCTTCTTCACAGGCTGCTGGGATTACTGCACCCTCACTTCTTCCGAAGGTGGGGGAAGGGCAGGAAGCCTGGGAGGCTTGGGGGCCGGGAGGGGAATGCCTCCAGAATGCCCAGGGATGCCTGTGCCCCGCCATCAGGTGACCTCCTGGACCCTGGCAGCCACAGAGAGGTCCGAGCCACAGCCATGGGACATCTGCCTGGGGCCGACAAGAGAAACGCGTCCGCCTGCTGAGGGCCTGGCAGAAGTCAGGCGTGGTGGTAGCTGGGAGCCTTGGACAAATGATGGCAGGTGCTAGGCTTGAGGCCTCAGGCCCGGGCTGCGTGTCTACTGTCTGTTTCTCTCACCACCCGCTCACCCACTCTTTAATCCGCGACGACCCTGGGAGTCTGGGCAAGCAACGCCAGGCCGTGGAAGGGTGCGGGGGTGTTCAGGGAGAGGCACATGGGGCCAAGGTGTCCGAGCTCCCGTGATCAGCAACGGAGGCAGTGTGCCGGGGTAAGCAGTGCTCGAGACTGCCTGTTACAGTCCCCGGCCTCTGCAGGGGACAGGGAGAAGGGCAGGAGGTAAGCTCTGCGGGTAGGAGAACGGGCGTGGACAGAGAGCTCTCGGCTTCCTACTAAAATCAACAGCATCATAGCTAACGTTTTTTGAGTGCTCACCATGTGCCAGGCACTCTGCTAAGCCCTTTACAAACACACATATCATTTTATAAACCAGAGCAATGTGGAAGAATAGGTACTGCATCCTGCCATGTTCCTGATGGGAAACCGAGGCACAAGGAGGCAACTTGCCCGGAAGTCCACAGCAAGTCAATGGGGAGCCAGTGATGGAACCCAAGGCTGCGTGAAGGCAAAGCCTGTGTTCCAGGAGCCACAGTGGAGAGTAGGGTCTTTCCTTCTGGGCCATGGGGCTGGGACTGAGGGGGAATGGTGCAGGGAGGGGAACCCTAATAAAAGCAACAACGGCCCCATTGACTGAACACCTACAATGGGACAGGCCCCGAGCTAAGTACTTTCATTTATCATCTCACTTAATCCCCACAATTCTACGAGGCGGGCAGGGTCAGTAGCTCTGTTACAGAAAGGAGGCCTGAACAGGTGCAGTACGTGCCCCAGGTCACAAGGCCGGTCAGTGGCAGAACCGTGACCCGAACTCAGGGCTGCCTGACTCTGGTCTGCTCGGCACCCAGGAAGAGAAGCCCGAAGGCCCGGCTGCCTGCTGCTGCCCGGGCGCTGGCTTGTCAGCACTCCTCTGGGGTGTCGGCTTTCCCCGCCCGTCTGGTCAGGCCGCCCTGTGACAGCTGCCCGGCCTGGAGGAGATTAGTCACCCGGACACACCGCCTGATGCTAGTGTCACCCAGAAAACAAAAGGCCACAGTCAGTAGGGGGGAGGTGCTGCGGGCACTCTGTGAGCAGCGATGAGGCCTGGGCCCTGCCGGCTGCCCCAGACCCACACTGACAAGAGAGGCCCGGAGGCAGGGGCCCCCACCACACTGCAGCCCACACACTGCTGGGCAGCCCCAAGTCCAACCGTCCAGGAGTCGCATCAGCGGCCTGGCGGCGCAGTCACCGCGAGTGGGGCGCAAGGCAGGCTAGGCCAGGCTGGTGGCAGGTGACCATGTGCAAAGCTGTCCCCACATGGGCCTCAGTTTCCTTGTTTGTCCACGGAGGCTGCGAGACTGAATTGATATTTTATGACAAGTTGTCCTGCAAGGCCCCCATGCCTCTATGTTCCCAATGCCCCCTTCCCCCAGGCCCCACGCTTCCTGCTCCTTTGGTCTCCAGAGAAACCTCTGTCCTCTGGTTCCAGACTTCCTATCTCTGCCGGGGCTTCTCCTGGGTCCAGTTGGAAGCCCCCCGGCGGGCCTCGGGCCCCAGCCTCTCCCCACTGTGCAGCCCCAAGCGGCAGTGTCTTCTCACCACTATGCTCTGCCATCTGCAGCAAACCACGCGCTACGTGCAAAGGTCACTGGAGGAGGCCCCACAGGGTTCTGACACCAACAGCAGAGCAAAATGGCTACCCCTCAGCCTTCTCGTGGGGGACCTCATACCCAAAGGGGACAGGGACCTCCAGCTGGCTGTCGAGAGCCCAAGGAGGAAAAAGGACGCCATAGGAGAGGCACACATGGCGGTACCAGGCCCCGTGCTCTAGAGGAACAGCAGGGCGTGTGGCTACGGGCTGCTGCCAGGGCTGAGCCGGCATGAGCACCCCAGCTCTGAGGGCTACAGGCTAGAAAGAACCAGACTCCTGGCCTCCCAGCCCAGACCATCTCATCCCCTATGTTAGTTTCAAGTGGAAAAGCCCAAGGGCCTTGGAATCCTGCATCTGCCATTGCTTTCCTGGGTGTAGATCGACTAACCTTTCTGATCCTCAACTTTCTCCTCTGCAAAATGGGGATGATACCATCTAGTTCAGAAGGTTGGCCTAAGGGAGGTTCTGATAAAGTACCTGGTGATACCAGGCAGAGGGGAAGGGCATGGCAGGGCCTACACCCGCAGCACAGGGGTATGTGGATCGTGCCATCTCCTGGGGTTTGTCTCTGCCCGTGGCAGGAGCGGGAACCCAGAAAGAGAAGCAGGAGAACCCAGGGTGGCCACCACCCACCACATGAAGAATGGAGCCTGGGCCGCCTGGGTGGCTCAGTTGGTTAAGCGACTGCCTTAGGCTCAGGTCATGATCCTGGAGTCCTGGGATCGAGTCCCACATATCGGGCTCCCTGCTCAGCAGGGAGTCTGCCTCTCCCTCTGACCCTCTTCCCTCTCATGCTATCTCTCATTCTCTCTCTCTCAAATAAATAAAATCATTAAAAAAAAAAAAAGAATAGAGCCTGGCAGCCAGAGTCCCCTGGGGGTATCCGCCCATGCTGTAAGGGATGCCCTCTGCCCCTCATACCAGGCCTGGCGCCCCGAGGTGCTGGCACCCCTGTGGCATGCAGCCAGGGTTCCCATTCCCGGCTGTGAGCAGGGCCCCACGTGCCCCTCTCCTCAGGGAAGGCTGGGAATAGTGCACAGTGGCCCCATTTCCAGCAGCCCCAGAGCAAGGGCCTGGCGCGCCCTCCCTAGGGGGATACTGGTCAGAAGCCACCTCTGGTGCTCTGCTCTCACAGCCCAAAGGTCAGAGGGAAGGAGGTGTGGACAGCTGGAAGGGAGGCCTGCCTCGGGCTGGTGAGACAGGGTCCCCTCTCCCAAGGTCTTTACTTGCTATGAGGAGCCTGCCCAAAACAAAACAAAACAAAACAAAACAAAACAAATGTGCAGCGGGGAGCAGGTGGCCAGGGCTGCACAGGAAACTCAGCCAGCAGGCCAGTAATGTTTACCTCCATGGGGCCTCGTGGGGGCAGGCACCTAGCCCACCCTTTCCCTTCCCTTCCCTTCCCTTTTCCATCAGCTTCAGAGCCTCATCCAGGAATGGTGGTGCCTGGGCCCACCCTGATCCGTTCCTCCCCAGACCCACCCAGACAGCTACAGGAAGGAGGAAGCAGAAGGCAAGGAAGGGTTGGGGGTGGGGTGGGGGGGAGTCCCCTTTGACCTGATCTGGAAGGCAGAGTGGCAGGCAGGAGGTAGGCGAGCGGGTGGGGCCTGGGGTCCCTGTGGGCAGGGGAGCCAGGGCTCTGGCCGGGGCTCCAGGCTGCTGGCCTGTGGCTGAGCAAGTCCTAGTTTGGAGAGCGAGCCGCTGTGGCTGCTTCTCTGCCCCCTCCCCCTCGCCACCCTCCTCCCCCAAGCCTGAGACAGCCGTTATGAAAATAACCCGATTGGTAACCAACTGCACTTCCTCTCCCAGCAGCCGCTCCAGGCCCTGCAGCAAGCAGGCGGCCGGTGGGCGGCCGGGCGCACACGCGCACCAGTCCTG